TGACCATGTGAAGAAGAAACAGAAGAAGATGCAGATGAACGCCATGAAGGAGGAGGCGCAGGAGAAGGAAGAAAAACAGAAGAAAGGAGGAGGAGGCGCGAGAGAAGGAAAAATAGAAGAAGGAGGCGCGGGATGAAGGTCACATTTTGAAATTTAGCTTGTGCGCGGTCATGTTTTAACATGTTATTTACGTCGGCCCTAATTGGATCCGACGTAAATTTTAACATCTACGTCGGCAACAATGCTTAACTGACGTAAATGTTAAAATTTACGTCGGACCCAATTAGGGCCGACGTAAATAATTAAAGAAAATTACGTTTCATGCCACCGCATTTTTATTACGTCGGGTATTTCTATATCCGACGTAAAAGGAGTGACGTAGTATCCTATTTTTCCACTAGTGTGGTATTGTAATAAATGATTTTAAAATTGTAAACTCTTAAATTTTACCTTTCAAGTTTTAATTTTCAGTCATTTTCTTATATTGAAGAAAGAACAGTTTTGAAGTTTTATGTGAACCCTTTTACGAACCCTTTGGAAGTTTATTCTTCTTAATTAAATTATATTATATATGTGTTGGGGTAGTAAGGGTGTCACAATTTGTAATATAAAATTATTATATATTATTATTACAGTACAAATATGAGATTGTATATTTGAGGATGACTTAAATGAATTAATTTGTACAAGTTATATTGACAACATACATATACATTTCGGTAGCCTACTCATCAGAACTTCACAGTTAAGCGTGCTTGACCTGGAGTAGTACAGGGATGGGTGACCTTCTGGGAAGTTTCCCAGAAATTGCACAAATAAGGATAAAACACGTTAAACAATGAAATATCGTGAAATAGAACCCTTGAGAGGCCAAATATGAGAGTTGTTACATTAATAAATTTATTAAAATTAAAAAAATTATAATTTTCACGAAAAATTCCTTCAGGGTTATTTCCCACGGATAAATCCGTGAAAAATTTCTTACGGATATATCCATGGGTAAATCCGTGGGTAATTACCCACGGATAAATCCGTGGGAAAATTCGTCGAAAAGTTACCCACGGATAAAAATCCGTAGCAATTTACCGACGGATTAGTGTCCGTCGGTAATCCGTCGAAAATGCACTATTACCCACAGATTTTTGGCATTTCCCACGGATTCTGGCCGTCTGTAATAGCGAATTTTCTTGTAGTGTAAGTTTGGGGACTCTAGGCATTAGCCTCAATTGCCTTATTAAATGTCCGGCCTTGTCTATAGTAAAACTTTATAACAAGAGAATACATACCCTTTATAATGTTTTAACATGAATATACTAGGATACTGTGACACCCTTTACCCCAACACACATATACAATAATTATAAAATAAAATAAAATTTTCATCATTAAAAACCAAATTTCTAACCACGTAAGGGTAAAGAGCTCACATTCATAAACTTAATCCAAATAACATGTCGGTAAAATTACAAAGAAATAAAACTGAGTTTTCCAAAATAATTTAATAAGAACATCTTAAACTAATCTTATCTATGCCTCGATATCACATGTCCTATCAGAGTAAAGCCCAACATAGAAGCCTAAGCTTCATCACCAACATTCTCAGCCTCACGTTGATGATCACCTGTATAATAGTCAAAGAAAAATAACACGATAAAAGGGAGTGAGAAACATCTCACTCTGGCTCACAGTGTAGAAATATACACCGGATAGTCAAACACAAACAAAACAGGTATAATGTAGATAAATTAATAATAACATTACATCTCACTCATCCAAGACATAAACCATCACTTTATCATATAACATTAAAAATGCATAAGTATGAACACGGACTACATATTATCATGCATGTAGCGCCAATAACATATCACATGGCATATTGTCGCTAGCAATACACGAAGAGTAGTCTAGGAGTACATGTCGGGTCACACCCTCTGCGCACTCTCAATAGAATACTACCAGAGTCTCGTCGGGATAGCTAAGTCATGCAAGATACATCCCATGCACACAATGGACGAGACTGGGACTTACAAACCAAGCTATCCCCAAGGACTAATTCCCAAAGCTTTTACACTAGGAGACCTTCTCTAGTGGTGTATTCCATATCATACCCTTAAAAATAGTTATGCACATGATGCATGTCAATCAAGACTCCATATTTTTCTCATATCACATTTTCATGTCTCATTGTCATATCACATTAACACATCTCATTGTCATATCACATTAACACATCTCATTGTCATATCACATTATCACATCATATTCACAATTTTCACAAAGCACTATAATTCATATTAAAACTCATCTATTTGCAAAATTAAACACATTTATACTCCGTAAATATATATTAAGGAACACAACAAAAAACTCAGAAGGTAAAATAGAAAACATTTAAAATTTGCCTGTTTCTCATAGAGTTTCCACAAGAACCCACATAGAACTTTAATTCATATCAAAACTTGTTTATTTGTGAAATTAAACACATATTCATACATCTCATACAACAAGGAATACAACTGAACAATCAAAAAGCAAAACAGAAAACATTCATATTTTTCCTGTTACAATTACAAATGCATTCTCTTAGGATTTCCCATAGGAACCCATGGAGATCTTAAAATTATACATTTATATTTAAATATGAGAAAAGTAACAGAAGAAACATATATAATTAGGAAAAATCCCACGTACATGAGCATACAACAAACAACAAACATAGGATTGGAAGCCAATCCCACTACCCAACATACATTCCTACACCTAGAGTAAGGTTTCTCACTCCTCCCTTACCTTGATAAGCAGGAGCTGAAACTAAAACCGGATCTTGTTGGCCTCCTCCTCTAGGTTCCCCTTTAGAATTCTTTCTGATACATGCTTCGAGAGGGTTAGCCCTGGCTATCAAGATGAGCTAAATGGTCACACCAGTGTACTATGCCAAAAGGGAATTTAAAAGGTCTTTAAAGAGTGTAAAAGAAAATAGGTTAGAAGTGAAAAAAATGCGTTTTTGGAGTGCCAGAATGTTCTATTTATAGGCATTAGATGTGGCCAGAATGGCCCATTTTAAATCCGGAACGGCCCGTTCTAGACTCATGCGTCATACGTAAATTTTACATCTAGAACGACCTGTTCCAAAACTAGAACGACCCGTTCTGAAATTACATATTACCTACAACAACCATGTTTGGAATGGCCCGTTCCCGAAGTGGGACGCCCCGTTCTGGAATCGCGTATTACTCATAAAATCATGTGTTGGAACGACCTGTTCCAGTCCATGATTTAAAGGCCATTTTAATAGTTTGGACCAGTCCATTCCAGTTTGGAAACGGCCCATTCTGGGCTACTAAAAAAATCAAAATATTATCAAAAATAATTTTCATAAATATTTATTATTAAAATACTTATAAATATTAAAAACCTTTAAAACATTCTATAAAATCCAATAAAATATCTATAAGAAAATAACCTCCATAAATATAAAAATAAACAATAATTAACTATTATACCAGTAGAAAATTCGGGATGTTATATATACCACCTAGAGTTATTGTATTTCTGCCATAGACCTTGTACGTGTACTAATATCGTTTAAATTATCAAGAGTTGACTTTGATAAATATTTCCTACTTTTAATATCTTCTATTATGAAAACAGTGTAATTAAAATTATATATATAAAGTTTACACCACTCACAATCGTAAATTACTAATACTAATAGAACTCCAATAGAAGATTTTAGAGAGAATAAAACGAATAAAAAAAATATAAATAAAGGAGATAAAAAGTCAAAATTCAAAACATTTATTTTAAATCTTCACAATTTTCAACCCTCAAATGTTATAATTAATAATTGACAAGCACAAAAGAGACGAATAAAACCCAAAAATAATAAAGATAAGGAAACACTGAGTTCAAGAGAGACAACGTTAACCCCCTAAATTCAAATATATGAAATTTCACAAATTATTAAACATTAATATTGTGGTTCATCAAGTTATTTATCACAGTCATACATTGCATATAGAACAATCTACAACAAATCTAATTGATGGGCCAAGAAATAACTTCTCCATAGAGTGGTCAAGTGTCTCAAATCAACATAAAATTATCATATTAGTTTAATTCAGCTTAGTTAACTATTAGTTTAGTTTTATATAATTATTTGAATATCTTTATATTAAAAAGTGATATTTTACTCATAAAAAAAGTAGTTAAGAGAAAAGATTTCACTAAAAAATAAAAAATATCATATTAGTTTAATTCAATTTTTTTTGGTTCATTCCTAGAGTATCTACCGCCGATAGCAGTGACTAATCTCTTCGCAATGAGGGAGGCACCTCAAAGGGTGGGATAGATCTCTTCGCTACGAGGGAGGCACCTCAAAGGGTGGGATAGCTAGCCCCAAGATTTAACGCAGCTGCATACATAAGGCAGAATTCGAACCCCTGACCTTACTTAAGCGTGGATCAACCCCTACCGCTGAACCACACATTTGGAGTTTTAGTTTAATTAACTATTATTTTAGTTCTAAATAGTTATTTGAATACCCTTAGACCAAAGTAATACTTTTTATTCATGGAAAATATGTAACTTAAAAAGAAAGATTTCACTAGAAATGGTCAATAAAATCTCTTCACAGATTTTAGATATATTATGAATACATCACACCAATAACATAATTAAAAATAATAATATTTTAATTCTTAAATACAATATAACCATTATTTTAAAATAAAGAGAGAGATCGGTTCAACGGGCGATGAATGAGATTTGGTAACTTTCCAAGTAGACCATTGCATTTTATGATACACGTATCCTCCCACTAACCAAAGTAATTTAAAATGAAAATTTTCCTAATCAAGAATATAACCATTTCGTAGTGTCTATCTTTCTCATATAGGAACCCCTTGATTCTCTTTATCAAAATTTGAAGTATTTTTGGAAAATTCGCCTGTCTTATTTGGTCATCATCATAGAGTAATTAAGAGCCTTGATTCTCTAGATTTTCCATTATTAAATTTGCACCTTACTTGCCTCAAATTTAGCCCCGAGTCACTACACATGAAATTGTGAGAGAAAGTGAACATTCATAGGATTATAGTTTGGTGAGAGGTAGAGAGACATGGAAGAAGATGCTGGTAACTTGAAGGGTGAAGAGGCATTCAGGAAAACAAGGGTGCCACCATGGACAAATCAAATAACAGTGAGATCAGTGGTGACAAGCTTTGTCCTAAGTGTGATTTTCATCTTCATTGTGTGCAAGCTCAACTTCACAACAGGGATCATACCATCCCTCAATGTAGCTGCAGGCTTGTTGGGGTTTGCAGTGATCAAATCCTACACTACACTCCTCAACAAGTGTGGCCTTCTCAAACAACCCTTCACTCGCCAAGAGAACACTGTCATCCAAACTTTCGTTGTTGCGTCTTCTGGAATCGCATTCAGCAGTGAGTTTTTTCTGCTTAATTCCTTGGTAACCCTTCATTTCTGTCATATTTTGTAACACATGTTAATAAAGTATGAGATAGTTTCAAAGTTAACTTACATAACGTAGCATTTCATACTTGTCGTTGCAAAACAAATGAAAATGATTTTATGTATATATATAGAGAGATAAATGGACACTCAATTGAGATTTTTGCATGAATTTTTTTAAATTTCTCACCAACAAAATCTCACCCTCCTTCTTTTCATATTTAATGTCTTTCTTTTGTCTTTAATTTATGGCTGTGATTTCACTCCACAAAATTCATGAATACACATAACCAACACATGCAAAGTATCGGTTCTTCTTTCTTTTGGCCAAAGGGGTAATCGATTATAAAAGAATTTTTTTATTTATTTACTTCCAGTTTATTGTTGCCCTTCTGTCGAAAGTTTCAGTGAGGAAAATTGATATAATTTTTTTCTTATAAGAATTTGCCTTTATTTTCTATTTTTCCCAAAAGGTTTATCGACAATTTGTGATTTAAAATTATTTTTACATCTTAATTTGAAAAGTATCTCGTTGAATTGACGGAATGAATCTTAATTTTATATAAGAAAAAGGTAAGTGTTTGTTTATCGTCACTGTCACGTTCTATTTACAGCCTATAAAGCAAATTTAGTCTAAAATACCAATCTTCTCTGCAATGAGAATATACCCTTGCATAATAAATTTTAATTAAATGAAAATTGATACATTGGAATAGTAAGAAATTCCTTTGAACTATTTCTTTC